GGGAGAGGATGTGCATTCTATCTGCTGTATAATGTACGTATCAATAACATGAGCAAGGCTATACTCAATCTGAAATGGCTGTGAATCCAGATCAGATATATTATCTCAGAAACATCCATACGTGAAGCGTACAGTTTTTATAAAAATAAAAAGTATATTATTATCTTTATTCTTGACTTTGTTGTTCATTGTGTTGCATTTTGGTGTTCTTGGAGCTATTTGTTGTTGAAGTGTGTTCTTGTAATCCAATATTTCAGCAGTTGCCATCTTTCCAATTCGAAACTTTCCTGCGTCATGACTTTATAACATAGGCTTTGGTAACCGTTTGCAGTCTGTTTTAATTGAAGCATTAGAATATATGTTGAATCATAACCCAAAAAGATTTGACCCAAGCACTACACCATGTGCAATGCCTTTTATTAAGGACGGTGAAATCGTAAGAGTTCCGGATTCAACGGTTTACACAGCTGTTCAAAACAGTTTACAAAACATTTTAGCGAATATCTTTAATTCAGAAACTACAGAAATAAAATTACCATATATAACAGATGCTAAAGAAATTAAATCAAAAACGACAACATTATTTACGTCACTTAATGATTTAATGACTTATATCATTAATATTCCTGCACCAACTACAGCATTTGATCCAAACTCGACGGTTTGCAGTGTACCTTTCATAAATGACAGTTCATTAATTACTTTAAGGGATTCGACAGTAAATGAATCATTAAAGGCGTCATTAATGAAAATCATTGATTTTAACTCATTCACGAATACATATAATTCATTCATTAATGTTTCATATGCTTCTAAAGAAGGTGAGCCAAAAACTATCGATAAAGCGGTGTATGAAATAAAAGCATCAACGACGAAATTGAATTCGTTAACTTTTGACGGTGATAGTTTCGTTAATGACATAACATCGGGGAAAACAATTTTAACGAAAGAATACTTAAAATCTCATGTTAGTGAGTTCGTTGAAATTGAAAAAGAAGGTGGAATTAAGTTCGATCCACTGAATTTCATTTTCAGCTTAGCGAATGCGGGTGTTAGTTTCGCTGAATGGACAACTATACAGAGTGAAATAAATGCAATATGGACGTTTTTGGGGTCAAAAGCGGGAATGGGTGAGCTTGTAAATGCTGCAAGAACATTAGGTGAAACAGGAAATTTTGTAGATGGTTTTAAAAGACTTGTTTCAAATGTTTTAACAAACACAAAGAAATTATTTAGATATACCGTACATAACGGACGGATTTTCGAACAGATAGCAACAAACCCTCCGGTTATGGCTGCGTTGATGATGGTTAGAGATATAAAACCACGTAACGACGGGAACGAAGAACATGAACAACAGGATACTGGTCGGGTTATTCGAGACATTAAAAACGTGTATCCTGAAGTTATTGATTTATTTAGAGGAGTTAATGATTCAATTTCAAAACATTCTATAACCCTCGATGAAGAGAATAAATTAACAGATTATATATTCGTCATTATTGCAGAATTAATGAAGAGAATAAATGAAAAAGGAATTGGTGATATCATTAATGTCAGCGATGTAATGATGAAAAGAAATTTTGACTCATTATTTACAAAACCGAAAACAGAATATAGTCTTTATGACGTAATTACCGAATTAATGAAAAAGATTAATGATAATAAGAGTTCTGGCGGAAGAGTTGAATTAGAAGTGAATGATGTTAATGAGAAATTAGCCGAAAAAGCAGACAAAAATGAGCTTTTAGCTCTGAGTGATAAAGTCAAGAACCACGTTCATTATATAACTTCAGACGAACAGATTATAACGGACTACCATGGATATTTAACACGAAGTGATGAAGCGAAGACAAAAAATGTTAATGAAAGAAGATATAAATACATTCGTGCTAAAGGTTATGACATAAGCTGTACTGTACAGTATGATGTAGCTAAAGCACCAGAAGCATTTGGTTATACCGGTGAAATTTATGCCTCTACTTTCAATGTTAACGGTGTATTAGTTGAACCAAGATTTACTTTGAGAGTTAAGTCAATAATAACGTTTGAAGATGCTATTAAAAGTAAAGCTGACAAAGTTGAACTCGAAGCAATGAACAAAGTTTTGAAATCTCATAAACACAACATCTCCGATATAAATGAACTTCAAGCTACATTAAATAGTAAAGCTGACAAGAACCATACACATGAATCCTTCACTACTGTTAGAGCAGACGACATAATATTGAACTATACCCTTGGTTCAAGTGCACCTTTAGAGAATCCAAGTACAAGCGTAAAAGATACACTAAACTCCTTAAATAGTAAATGTATGAATATCGAAGGTCATGTCAGAAACTTTGAAACACATGAACTACCAGCAATGTTAGACAGTAAAGCTGACAAAGAACATACACATAAATCCTTCACTACTGTTAGAGCAGACGACATAATATTGAACTATGATTTGGGTTCAAGTGCACCTTTAGAGAATCCGAGTACAAGCGTAAAAGATACTCTTAACAATTTAGATAACAGTTGCAGGAATATCGAAGGTCATGCCAGAAACTTTGAAGCATATGAACTACCAGCAATGTTAGATAAGAAAGCAGACAAAACAGAGCTTCAAACATTAAAGACTGAAATACTTCAAACATTATATCCTATAGGCTCTATTTATACGTCAATGAACTCAACAAATCCAGCAACAGTTCTGGGTTTTGGTACGTGGCAGCAGATTGTAGACAAATTCTTATACTGTGCTAACTCTTCAAAGCAAACAGAAGGCTCAAAGAAAATTAAAGAAGCAAACTTACATGCGCACACTCATACAGGAACTACAAACACAACAGGTAGTCATTCACATTCAATAACAAAAAGAGGTTATACAAATCTTGCAGCAGGTTCGGATAGACAGGGAATGAATAGATATGATATTTCAAGTGACCCAGTAGATTCAAGCGCAGGTATTTTCTGTGGAACCACAGGAAATCATTCACACACTTTCACAACAAATCCAACAGGCTCGGGTGCAGATTATATGCCACCATTTATGACTATATTCGCATGGTATAGAGTTCAATGAACGCGCTTGAGCCTTGAATAAAATCTTTAACTTTACATAAATGAGCTTGAAAGAAGTATTCGAACAACATCCATGGAGGTCATTTAAGAAGTTCAATGAAGCTGCAAAGAGTTGGGGATTTACTAACAGAGCTGAAGTGAAAAGGTTCTTTGACAAAAATGTTGTACATCAAACAAAAATAAACCCTTACGACTACTTTTTACCAATTTACTCCAGCACTCCTGACGCATACCAATTTGACACTCTCATTCAAAGCAGAAAAGGAGGACATAAACCATTCCTCATCTTCATTAATGTTAACACTCGTAAAGCATATGCATATCCAATGAAAAATAAAGGAACTCGTGAAGTGTTAAGAGTTTTACAAAAGTTTGTAGCAGAAAATAGCCCAAGTACTTTAACATCAGACCAAGACAGTGCATACCTCAGCAATGAAATCACAGATTTTCTCATTAAGCATAACATAACTCACTACACTACTGAAGACCATAACCATAACATACTCGGCATCATAAACCGCTTCATAAGAACGCTCAGAGATTTAAACCAAGAGCGAGACTTTACCGAAGAAACAATGAAACATTTTCTCGAAGTATATAATTCCTCAACACATTCTACAACAGGACATACACCAAATTCAATGACACAACAACAAGAAGAAAAGTATATACAAAAGAAACGAAGCCAAACACAAAATATCAGAAATTCAACACAATTTACCCTCATTCCTGGTACAAAAGTTCGTGTAGTTCTTGACGACAAACCGTTGACAAAGAAACGTTTAAGGTTAAGTAGAAACTATTATATCGTAGACTCTACGCAAGGTAATGGATATCTTATAAAAGCTGCTGACGACTCTATTGCGTTTTATCCTCGACATAAATTAGTCGAAAGTAGTAATGGCAAACTTGCTGAAACCATTGACGAAGCAAAGCGAGGAGTGGTTATTGAAATACTTGGCTATAACATAAACGATGACACTTATAAAGTAAGATATGAAGGAGGCGTTGAAGATGTTATACCATCTAAGAACTTGAGAGAGTCAAAGACAACACATCTGGGACCATTAGAGCGGGAGTACTGGAAAGACAAAAATATGCCAGAAAGAATAAAAAAATTCTTCTAAACTTTTTCATTAGATGTAAATCAGACATGAATGAGAACAGTCATGATATCATTAATGGCACCATTTATTTTTGTCATAAATTTACACCAAAAATATATTTTAGGTGAAGAGGTGAGATCTCACCCGTTTTTTCACCTCTTTTTTCACCCTCATGAATTTTCATGAATTTCCTTAAGATAGAAAAAATAAAGTTAGTTTTATTTTTATTTATTTTTTTATTTTGTATGTAAAGATATGATTTCAACAATCGGCACAACAACAATTCAAGCCGCGAACGGCAGGACTCTGTCCACAACAGCACCAAACTCACTAGTCATGAATCCTACGTCAATGTTAGTAGAAATGAAAAACTTCATTCCTTCTTCATATACTTTCGAAACCAAAATCCAGAAGATAAAGCAAGAACTGTTAACAAGTAATTTAGACTGTACCGCACAGGATGAAGAAAATGAAGAATATCTTTATGACATGCAGGACCTCATCGACCATTTACCTAAACTACCTGAAATTCAGCAACAAAAACTAACCATTCCCGAATTTGACGAAATTGAAGTCAAAGCAACTGACTCAGTAGAAATAAAGAAGTTCATACGAAAGGTAAACTATGAGTTTCTAGGATATCATTGCAACCATAAAGTTATGGATAAAGATTGCGACATGGTTTATAAAAATATTTCTGACCTTTACAAATCCGAAGAATTTAAGACATACGACAACTTTGTTTCATTAATTGCAGAGTGTGTATGGCAGATAAGAGATAAAGATAGAAGAGGTAAAGTATGGAATGAACAGATAAAACCAGCAGCTTTTGAGTTAAAGAAAACCATTGACGCCTTAGTTGTAGTTAGTACACCAGTCTTGGGTATGGTGGCACTGCGTTCCACCTTACCCAATACTTGTGAATTTGACACTTTACAAAACCACTAACGTACATTATACAACACGAACGCAAAACTAACTTAACCTTAAATATTTACAAAGCCGCCAACCATTTCACCTCACTAACGAACTCATTAATGAAAAAATAAACGTTCTCATAAATTTTCTTCTATATCTTCATCGTCAGTGTTAACTCTATTGTAGTCATACTTGAAGTCATAAAGTTTCTCAAGTTTTGAAATGCATAGTCTTGTTAACTTACCTTCATCATCATAAGTTTTTTATAAAACTACCATGACAATCTTTATAAACAGTCAATGAAAAGTCAACTGGTCTAGGATGAAGTGTAAAGAACATGTTATGCTCAGGAAGGAAGAATAAATGTTTAAATGTATGTTTGTTATATTTTTCGATTTGTATGAGTTGCTTTTGTTCTGTCATTACATCCAAATAAAAATTTTCAGTAAAAATAAAACTAACGTTAAAAATTTCTCATAACATAAACGTTCTCATTGCTTTATAACTCTCTTCCTTGGTTTCTTTTTAGTTGCTTCTTCACGTCTGTCTCCAGCTTAACTGTCTTTCTTCTTCGTCGTAATGATACCAGTTACTTCCACCAGTCAAGGTCAAATGTCTTTCGTAAGGGTTTCCATACATTCCATAGGGACCATACGGAAGAACTACTGGGGAGAAGAAACATTTTCTTTAGTTCCATCGACTCTATTTAAATGCATTGTTTCACCTTTCATCTGGTCATTAAAGTCTTTTGCGTGTTTTGCAAACTCATCGTCCTTTCCTAAAGCATTTTCTGACTCAGTCGCAACCAAATTGGATGCTTTATTTATGAGTCCTATTATTTAATCTTAACTTCTTTGCAACCCAGCCTCCAATCTTCCCTTTATTTGCATCTAATGTCTTCGAAACCTTCCTCCACTCATTTTATTTACTCGTCCTAAGCTCCAAGTGCTTTGCTCCAAATGCTAATGCTTTTGTTCCATTGCGCCTAAAGCTGCCCAAGCTACCATTTACACCATATTAAAATCATCTCTCTTCAATATTATCTCATAAAAGTTCTCGTTACTGGAGAAAGTCAATGAAACATAAGCGTTCTCACGGGCTTCGCCCTCACCGCTTTGCGGTCTATCTAACTTCTTTCTTATCTCATCTATTCGCTTCAAAATGTCTGAACAATTGCTAACATCTTCTACAACAGTTATTTCATCATGAATGACCTTCAAGAAACAAGCTCATTTAATATGCAATTAAAATCATTTCAATAATGAGTCCATCCTTTCCGTCTTTGGGTAGCACAACATCTTTCATTGAAGAAGGTTCAACAAGTCTTATATTAAACTTACTGACAAAGTTTGTTATACTATAATGCTTCGGCGGCGAATACATATAGTTTGAAAGACATAATATAGATTCTTCAGCAAATTCACTTATACTGGATTTTATAACAATGTTCTCACGAGACAAATACCACCAATTGAAAAACTTGTAAGCAATCCTGCTGAACCTTCTACTGTAAACGTCGATGGTAACATTCCACGAAGGTCATCTATTGACATCGTTGAGTCACTGTATTTAAATATTTTCTTAAAACAATCGTCATTATCTAACCATGCAATAGCTTTGAAGTTTTCATTCGAATATACATCTGCTTCATTAAATGTAAATCCTGACTTCTTTGCAGAGATGACTTTAAAATCTATTGAGTTTGTTTCAATTATATGCTATGGTAACTTCTGAAGGTAATGGATGTCCTTCCGCAGTCAGTTGTTCTCTCACTACCGTTTGAAGCTTTGTATTAAAAACTTTCATGTCATCTCCTGTATCTAAGTTCACATACACAGCAACAGGAAAACTATCTTGCTTCTTTATTTCATCATTATACCTCAAAACATTAAAGTTCTTCAATAATATTGTTCTTCCTGCTGGAATACTTCGAACCTGTCTGATTTCAATAGCTTTCTCACCTCCTACATACTCTACCAGTGTCTTGGATATTCATAAGTATACTGACTTTCTTGAATTTTGGTTGGTTTCATCATAACGTGTTCATAGTATATCTTTATACTCTTGTCAGTTAGACTCGGTGCTATGTTCTGAATATTTCTGACTTGCATTTTTAATGGAGATAAATGAAGCATTTAATACATGACGTAGATGAAGACATGAATGAAACTACAGACAAACTTAACTCTTCTCTTATTCTTCCTTTCAGCAAAAATTATGAGTTCTGTTCAAATGGTGTGTATTCTATTGTGGAAAGATGGGTTCAGGTAAGACATTTAACCTCATTCGTCATATACTCATAACAGAACGTTTAGGAAACGACTCTTACTATGACCAAATCATTATATCAGCAACTTCAGACTCTATGGATTCAACAGCGAAAACATTTATGTCAAAAGTTCAAGCCTCTGTCGTTAAAGTTCCAGACAGTGAACTCATTGAATTTCTTCAACGTTACATTCGACGTAAGAGGAAATATTATGCCATCGTAGAGTTCATACAGTCAGGAATGCAAAAGACTTCTGAGGAGATGGAAAGAATTATTGACAAACACCACTTACGTCAATACTCAGGAGTTTACGATATGAAACGACTTACAAACTACATTCTATCAAAACTTTCAAAATACCCCTTCAAAAAATATCCTTCAAATACTTTGTTAGTTTTGCGACGACTTCGCCGGAAAAGGTTTAGTTTCAAAACCAGACTCACCATTAGCTAACATCATTACTAAAGTCAGACATTACCATTTAACTGTAGCAATACTTATGCAAACATGGAGGTTTTAGCTTTAAACATAAAACGTCTCATAACTGACTTCGTTATCTTTCAAGGTTTCTCACGTTATGATATTGAACTCATTTGGAAACAGTCAGGTATAACATTACCTTTTGAAGAAATTTGGGAAGCATATAAGTCTCTCATCTCTCCTCGTTCATACCTTGAGATTCATATCATGACTAATACCATTAAAGTC